TAATCCTACGGTCGGATAAGACGGAATACGACACGACGGATTCTTCCAAATGAAAGCAAGAAGATCACACGATAATCCTACGGTCGGATAAGACGGAATACGACAGAATGGATTCTTCCAAATGAAAGCAAAATGATCACACGATAATCCCACGGTCGGATAGAACGGAACATGACCAAACGGATTCTTCTAAATGAAAGCGAAACGATCACACGATAAGTTTGCGGTCGGATACGACGAGATACAACAAGGGAGTTAAGAGAAAGAAAAGGTTATAAAAGAGGCAGGAACAAAGACAAACGGAGAACTTGGAAACCATCAACCCGAACCTCCTACATCGTTCCTACTACCTCTCATACCTTATTCTCTTATTACTACCACCGATCCAATACCCCCATCCACCACGCCAAAAACATGAAGTACCCCACGAACAAGAAGACTACCTTGGAGACCCGTGGGGGACCTCCCCGACCCCTCGACAAACATGCGGTCCTCAGCTGGACCGCCTGTTACGAAGACGAGTGTGGCGTCCATCGGGACGCCAAAGAAAGACACGCCTGGTGGCCAAGGAAGGAATCGGCCACCACGAACGGAAAAGGCGAAGATTGGAGGAAGGCGTGGGAGAAAGAGCCCTGGGGGCCGGAAGAGAGCAAAGAGGAGGAGGACCCCGAGGTCCTAAAACAAAGACGCCACGAGAAGGTGGCATGGGAGGTGTGTATGCGCAAGTTTTGCGCATACCACAGGAAGCAAAAAAGAGAGGCGCTGGTAGGCGCAAAGAGGAGAACCACCCCACCAATACCACGAACCAGCCCGAACAACTCGGGCTCCGAATCGGAGCGGTCGGTCCACTGGGACCCGGAGGTGAACCAAGAAGAGTACCGACGAACGGTACGAAAGCTGAGAGCGAGGGTAAAGGCCCTCGAAGAGCAGGTGAAAGTGCTCGGCTGGCAGAACCAGTCGAAAGGAAATATGTGGACGGAGGAGTAAGACCGATGGGACTCGGTCTTGGGGGAGAGAGGAGCTAA